GTGCATTACTTACTCATATGGTTGGTAATAAGAGTAGGTGTGTTGCTCGTGGAGATTACTCAAACAACGGGAGCTAGACTATGGGGAAGGCACGGGGTTGTCAGGCATCTCTGTGTTTACACTGCTTGCGCATTCACCGGGAAATTTGGCAAGAGTTTCACTAGCAAAGATTGACAACAAAGGTACACAATGCAAAACAACAATGTACTACATCAGATGCTAGCAAGCATGCAGACCGACTGCTTGCGCAGCACGGTCGACCGCGTTCCAGCACTGCATGGTCGACCGCCCTCCAGCAGCGCAATGTCGCAATCTTCGTAGGTGCTCGCAGCTGGTTGGCGTGCTGTGCCTTGTCACTTTTAGAGTGCAGACTCCTAGCTGACCACGTGCCCATGACTGCACCTGATCCTCCACGTCGACCTCATGATACCACACCGAGGTCAGCTATGAGAAAACCTCGTAGGCGACTCTCTCGCACCCCACAGTGCCCGTCGCCTAGGTAACTGAGTCGATTGGGCAACCAGGTTGACGCCACCAGGCCAGCATCCTCCGAGGTCGGCGTCCAGGTGCCCAGGTTGGCGTCCGGGCGCCCAGGTCGGTGTCCAGGTGCCCAGGTCCGCGTCCAGGCACCCAGGTCGGTGTCCAGGCACCCACGTCGGCGTCCAAGGTCGGCGCCTTCCCAAAGTCGGCGGCCCCATCCTCCCAGGTTGATGACTGCCCTCGCCGACCCCAGTTGAAGTCAGCCATCGGCGCCCGACGTCGATGGCTTCGCAGTGCCCCCCGTGCAGGTCGACCTAGCCCGTGGACCATCTCGCCCAAGTCGGCGTTGCCCACTGCTGCAGGTCGGCTGTACCTCCTGCACACCCGACCACGAAGTCGGCTCTGCCCAAGCAAGGACGGCACGTCAACTCTCGTTGACACTCCCATGCCGCGTTCACGCTTGCGCCTCCAACCCACACGGCAGCACTACTTGGAGAATAGCTCGTCGGCATGCATACAACACACAGCACGTCGGTCACCACACCAGCCATGCAAGAGGGCATGGCATCTACTGCTTCCCGTCGTCGTCACTGTCGCTGACGTCGGCTAGGCACACTTGGCCGATTGCGACGGAGCACCGGTTGAATGCCGGAAAGTGCAGCGCCTTCGTCACGAAGTCAGCTGGCTGCTCGGTGGTCGGGATGTACTTCATCGTGATCTTCTTGCGCTTCACCATGTGCTTCAGCCAGGCGTATCGCCGCCCCGTGTGCTTGTGGTTGCCCTGCACTCCCGGGCCCTTGGCGAACGTGATGGCCGACTTGTTGTCCACACAAAAGACCGTCGGCGTCCCGGCATCCAGCAGCCGGAACTCTGCCAGGAGGAAGCAAAGTCGGCGTCCCTCCTTGCCGGCCTCGGTTGCCACCACGTACTCCGACTCGGTCGATGACAGCGTCGCCCACTTGATGCGCTGGCTCAACCAGGAGACTGCGGCCCCTCTGAAGACGAACACGTAGCCGCTTGTGCTCATCCGGTTCTGCTTGTCGCCGGCATCGTCGGCGTCCACGTAGCCGACCAGCTTCAGTGACTATGCTCCATTGCCAAACTCCAGGGCGGTGTCACGGGTGTCAGTGAGGTAGGCGAGGCAGCAGTCGACCTCGCACTAGTGCTGGTCTCTCCTCACCGTGAGGCCACTCCCTAGCTTGCTGGAGGCGAAGGCGATGTCTGGCCTCCTCCTTGTTGCCGCGAACTGAAGCGAGCCGACCTTCTGCCGGTACTCCTCCTCCTCGCGCTCATGAGCCTCCTCGTCGTCGAACGTGAGCTCGGCGTAGGCGTTGACGGAGTTCGGCGTCTTCGCGATCCGCCCGGCCTGCTTCTCGTCGATGAAATGCCTACGCATCTTGTTGGCATAGCTCTGCTGGTGCAGTCACAGCTTCCTCGCCGAGCGGTCGCGCACGATCTCCAGCCCGAGGTACTTCTCGACCGAGCTGATCTCGTGCAGCTTGAAGGCCACCTCCAGCAGCTCCTTCAGCTTCGTCAGCATCTCGGTGCTGCTGCTGGCAGCGAGCAGGTCGTCGACGTAGACCAGCACCCAACAGGTCACCCCAACGGTTCCTCATAATGTTCACCCCACGTGGGCATTCAACCAGCTCCCAGGTGCCCATGCCAGTGAGGCTGCGGATCTCCTCCACCGCCTTGCCCTTCTAGCTAGCCAACGCCTCCCTCACCATCATCGTCGCAATGTCCCAATGGTGCTCAGGGTCGGCGTGCATGTCAGGGTCGAGCTCTGGCAAATTGACGTCGGCATCCGCATCATCGAGCAGCGTGGTGAAGGCGGCCGGCGGCAGACACACATGGTAGGCCAGCTGCTCCGGCGGCCTCCGAAGTTGGCCTGAACATCGCAGCTCAGGCTCCTTGATATTGACCTCCACCACATCATTGTCGGTGGACTCCTCGCCCCCGACTGCTCCCCTACTTCCGCGCCGGCTTCGCTACCCTCACCGGCCTGCTGCACCATGGTCAGCGTCCCTAGCGAATTCTCCCCTGTCATCGTCTCCCATGCTGACTGCCCAGTCGCCGACGGCTTCTTGGTCGGCTTCACTGCTGGCTGCTCCCCTGTTGGTTGCTTCCTTGCCGACTCCTGCTTCGCTGACTTCTCCTCTGTCAGCCGCTTCTCGACTTGCTGGACGTCACGTCAACCGTCGGCGATGCTCTTGGCCGGCACCAAAGGCGACGCCCCACTGCTCCCCTCATCACCGGAGGCCGATGTCGGTGTCAGCTCATGCAGGTCGGATACAAGGGGTGGGGCAGGGGAAGGGGCAAGGACGTCCTCGGCATTCTCATCACCAAGCTCACCAATGAGAGTGTCGCCGTCGACGTGTCCATCAACGGGTTGACCTGCGTCCCCCCTGACGCCGGCCCGTGCTCCAACTTCCACACCTCCAGTGATATGGTCTTGTAGAACACCCTGTCTGACGTGGTGACCACCTTGTTGTCGATGAGTTCGAGGACCTCTTAGCCCTTACTCTCCTCGGACACACCGAAGTGAAGGCCCCACCTGGCCTTCGGTGCCAACTTTCTGCCACACTGCTAGTCAGGGACCAGGAACTGCGACATGCAGCCCCACATACGGGCAAGCATCAAGTCTGGCTTGTTGCCGCTCAGTAGCTTATGCGGCGTTGTCCCCGGCGACAAGGTTGACCTCTCTAGGCAGTTGCGCACTTAGACGGCCTGCCTCAGGGCGAGGTGCGACCAGTTGAGCTGCACGCCCATGTGCAGCAGCATCGTCCGCACCAACCCGACGAGCGTGCGCATCTCCCTCTCGGCCATGCCATTCTGCTGCGGTGTGTACGGGCACGTAAGGTCATAGACGAACCCCTTGTCATCCTCGAAGTTGGTCAACTGCTTCCCTGAGAACTCCCCTTCACGGTCAGAGCGCAGCATTAGCACCGACTTCTTTGTTGCTCAGCCTCCAGCAGCCACTTCTCAAACTCCCGCAGCTCGTCGGACTTCTTGGCAACCGGCCTCACCCACACATAGGGTCTCGCGGTCCTTCAGCAGCAAGATGTACAGGCTGCCATTCTTGGCGGCCACCCAGAACGGCCCGCAGAGGTCGATCTGCATGACTGCGAGAGCGCTGTCGGCGTCAGAGCCCTTGTCGAAGAAGGTTCACATAGGCAAGACAAACATGCAATAAGGTACACCACCAACAGAAACAAGGGATAAATACAGTAAACTACAAACCAAGCAATTTATATAGAAACTACATTTCAACACACTCCCTAAATTGCTTGCAATAATAGCTAGTGTAGTCAACACCCCCTAAATGGGTATAGCTGGCGCAGTGGAGGACGTCAGGGAGGTAAGTGAGGAGGAGGAGGCGAGAGGGAGAGAGGAGAGGAGAAGAGAGAAGTACCAAGGAGGAGGTGAGAGAGAGAGGGATGAGGAGAGGAGGTGGGGGGGAGCCAGTCGTGGCAAAACCCTTCTTACTAACCGCCTTTTACAAAGGGAGAGGTGAGAGAGGGATGAGGTGTTATAGTCTAGACTCCACTTAGGGGTCGCGGATGCCCATGAAACCGCCTAAGTAGAATCTCATGACTTCGAACCGTCTATGTTCAAAACGCCGTCACGATCAGCTCCAATAACATGCAAAGCTGAAACTTGGAGAGATCTTAGTTTCAGGTGTCTGATTTCCAACGGTATATTGATTGCTTTCATCAGAGGTGTATGCGCTACGTAGTGAACAAAAAACGTAAGCTCGGCCGAAAACGTGTAGTTTCATTCATGCAAGGAAGAGGTGAGTACAACATTGCCTAGGGGACTCTTAAGGGGTTGGGACCATCCTGGAAACTCAGAGAAGGTTGAGTCCTAGGGGAGAAAGGCTAGAGAAGGATGGGAAACGTCCTAGCTAGGTCAGCAAAGCCAACCACACTTGGATGTTCAGAGCTGTACTCAAGGCTACCAATAGTGAGTCAAGCCAACCATGAGTCAGCTTGTCTTCCCACTTGCACCCTCTTGCAAGCTGCTTCCAGGAAGACCACACTTCTCAAAAGGAGGGTGGTAGAGTCCCAATTGACCACCTGTACTTCTTGTCTCATACTCTGTTCCTGCACAATTGGCATGACAACAATGAAAGGGTGGCAAAGGAAATGCTGCCAACAGTGCACCATGACTACGGAACAGTAACTTTCGACAGCTGTCACGTGCTGCTCCAATGCTGGGTTGTCTTCAAAATCGGTGACCACCTGAACAACATGGCAAAGGACTGCCACACTGTTTTTCAGACCAATCAGAGCCTGTTAGATGAGTCACCAGCCGAAATGGTGAACTCGGGTGTTACAAGAATAAGAGTAACACACACTTCCGGGATGCCATAAGGCTTGAAACAAAAATGTTGCCACAAAAATTCTGAACCTTTGAAGAACAAATGCTGAAGCACCTCCCCACAAAATTCCAGAAGCTGAGCAGGCTTGTAGGTTGAATGGAAGTGCGATGACCGTGCCACTATAGTGTTTTGGCACAACATGAGGAGAGGAGGTGGGGGGGAGCCAGTTGTGGCGAAACCCCTCTTACTAACCCCCAAGTCCCCACCCCCTTTCAACCACTCCCCTTAACCTCACCCCCTCGTTCAGCCGCCCCTTGGAACCTCACCCTGCCCCCCCCCTTTCTTCCTCCAGACCCCTGCCCACCCACGGTGGTCCTTGCACAGTCCCTTACACGGCGGCCAGCCCCCCAACTGCCCCATCCCACCACGTCCCCACCACAGCAGCAGCCGTCGGAGGGGAGAGGCAGGGTAGAGGGTGGTGCTGGAGTGGCTCACGGCGGCCACCCCTTCCACACCAGTTCCCCCCCCACAGCCAAAGTCGTAGAAGGGAAGGCGACGGGGAAGCACAGGGAGGCTGCTCCGGGCGGCACAACAGTTGCAGTCGCGGAATGTGCAGCCGCTGCAGCAGCATAGGGGCCGACGGGAGGGCGGTCGGGGAAATCTGCTGGTGCGCAACGGGCGCCGTGGAGCTGACGAGGGGCGTCGGTGCGCTTACGACGGGCGACGAGAAGGTGACGACGGGTGGTGGGGATGTGGCAACGAGCGGCGGTGAGCTGGAGACGGGCGGTTTGCAGCTGACCACGAGCGACTGGGAGCGTACGGACAAGCGAGGGGGACCGAAATGTGGACAAAATGTGGGCTCGCCGAGTGTCGCAACGAGCAGAACGAAGGGCTGCAACAGCAGCGAGACGGGGAGCCGCGATGGGGACTGCGACGGGGCGAACGGGTCCCGCCATTGCGCAGATCGCCGCCGTGACAGTCGCGACCGTCACGGCGGATTTATCGACGGGCAGAAGTGACGCGACGCACAGATCGACTGAGGGCGTCATTGAATAGGCTAACGGTGGGCCCATAAAAATTAGGTCCTAGCTCGGACCTGCTCTGATAATATGTTAAAGCGGTAACTATCTTTACTCAGGAGCCATGGCTAGAGGTAGTGTGAGGCACAGGAGTAGCGTGAGCATGAGAGGGTAGGTCCAAAAAGAGGGGTTTCACTATAGTTCGAAAGGTACACATAGGCAAGACAAACATGCACTGAGGTACACCACCAACAGAAACAAGGGATAAATACAGTAAACTACAGAGCAAGCAGTTTATATAGAAATTACATTTCAACAGGCGAGATGGTCGGCTCCACGACGCCGTCCAGCGAGCATGACGCCTCCCTGACGCCTTGCCCTTTGCCGCCAGAGGAGGAGTCTGCGTCCTTTGCCGACATTGACTTGGTCGACTGCTTATCCTTGCGCGACTTGCTTTCCCGATGTGGGCGACAACCGGCCGACCTCCCTCGGCCTCCCTCGGCCTCCCTTGAAGTCCTCACGGTCTGGACACTTGAAGGAGTGGTCCTCACCTCATAGCCAACACTCCCGACGCCGACCTCCTCCTCCACGACCGCCATCCTTAGCCGACTTCGCCTTGTCGGCGTCCTTGGCTGGCTTTCCATCTCCGTTACCACCGCCGCCAGGCTTGCTATGCTGCCCCGGTCGACCTTCTTGCTTTGTCGGGGTGACATAGTTCGCCCACGGCAGGAGCTCCGTGGACCTTTCGACCTCCTATATCTCCTCGTCCCTGAGAATGTACGAGGTCAGTGTGTCCTCGTTGAGCGACTCCCGTGTGCCCGACACCACCATGAGTTGGCGCATCAAGTTGTAGCCACTCGGGAGCCACTTTACGACGTGCGTGATGTACGACGCCATCAAGTACTTGACAAAGGCCATCTGCATGTTGGCAAGGAGCCGCCGAGCTCAGTTGCAGTAGTCCGTCAGCTGCTCTCCCAGTTGGCCGATGTACAGGCCGTCGGTGGCCTGGTACGTCGACGTGATGAATCGACACGCCTAGTGGCCGGCGTCCAGGTGACTCTGGCACGACTTCAGGGCAATCTAAACCACCGGTGATCAGCACCGCGAGATGATCGTGAAGGTCAACAGTTGAACGGTGTGAAACTCCGCATGCAGCTTGGCGTTCTTCTCCGGCGGCGTCTCCACCGAGCCGTCGGCGAAGCACATCAGGCCGGCCATCTCAAGATGGGGCTCGATGGACTCCTTCTACGTGATGAGGTCGTGATGACCAACCAGCAGCGCGGTGAAGGCGATCTTGTCCAGCGTGAATTTGAAGTAGTCGTAAGTCAGTGCTATCCCAACAGCCGTCACGTGGGTCGCCGACGCCAGCGTCACGCTGCTTCGACGTCCACCGACGTCGCCTTGCAAAGAGCCTGCAGCCGCCACCGACTTCACCATCAGCTTTCCGGAACATCCCTCTCTGCCTCGACGGGCCTTTCGTACTGCTGCTGACCTGGCCGCCGCCGAAGACTCCCTCGGCGACGCCGCCTTTGTTGCACACCAGTCGAGGAGAACCAGGTCAAGAAGGGTGTTCTGCCGCCCACAGCGCGCAGATCCCCAGGAGGACCACCTCCAGGGGGAACACCGGCCCGAACTCGCCAGCTATGTGGCGTCTCCTTGCATCAGCCTCTTGAGTGTCCAATGTATCCACTACGGGGTCGACCATGGCGACAAGGACGGCTGCCAGTCTACGAACAAAATAGGTAAGAAGCACCTAAGTCGAGTACTCTGGAGGTAAGTTGCGGGGCCGTCCACGCTCACCGCACCATGCGGAGATTACTACAACAACGGGAGCTAGACTACAGGGGAAATGTAAGGGTGTGCGAGTGATCATAGCATGCCTTGTATTCTCTTAGGACTTGTGCATTCATTGGGCAAAACCAAAAGAGTTTCACTAGCAAAAGTTGAGAACAATCGTTGAACATCCAAAGCAACAATGGACTACATCAGATGCCAACGCTGCAAGTCGTCGGCGTGCCAACGCTGCAGCAAGGCGGCTGCAGAGCGTTGCACCCGCATGATAGCAGTGCACCCGCTTCGTTGGTGCTCGCAGCGGGTTGGCGTGCTGTGCCTCGTCATGTAAACAGCGCAGACACTAAGTCGTCCATGTGCTGGTGACTACACCTCATCCGCCATATCGACCTCGGGATACCACCTCCGCAGTCGGCTTTGCCAGAACCACGTGGGCGACAATGCGCACCTCCGCAGATCCTCGTAGCCTAGGTAACTTGGTCGACTGGGCAACCAGGTTGACCAAGTGCTGCTCCTCTTGCCCGTCAACTGCCCGGGTCCACGACCACCTCCAGCCGACCTCCCAAGTCAGCTATGGCAGTTCGACCAACTTCAGGTCGACCAGGCTACTCAGGTCGGCGCCACCAGGACGGCGCCTTCCCAGGTCGACCTCGATAGGTCGACCTCCCAAGGTCATTGCCCTCCAAATCGGCGCCCTTCCCAGGTCGACGAGCCCCGTCGTCGACCACAGTTGAAGTCGGTCGGCAACGCCCGTCGTCGGCAGCTTCGCAGTGGCCCTCGTGCAAATCGACCAAGCCCGTTGACCAGCTCGCCCAACTCGGCGTCCCCCACTGCAGCAGGTGTTGTGCCAAAACACTATAGTGGCACGGTCATCGCACTCCCATTCAGCCTACAAGCCTGCTCAGCTTCTGGAATTTCGTGGGGAGTTGCTTCAACAATAATTCTTCAGACCCTCAAAGTTTCAGAATTTTTGAAGCAGTTTACAAGGCATGGCAACATTTTTTGTTTCAAGCCTTATGGCATCCCGGAAGTGTGCGTTACTCGTTTTTTGGTAACACCCGAGTTCACCATTTTGGCTGCTGACTCATCTACCAAGCTCTGATTGGTCTGAAAATCGGTGTGGCAGTCCTTTGCCGTGACGTTCAGGTGTTCACCAAGTTTCAAGACAACCCAGCATCGGAGCAGCACATGACAGCTGTCGAAAGTTACTGTTCCGTAGTCATGGTGCACTGTTGGCAGCATTTCCTTTGCCACCCTTTCATTGTTGTCATGCCAATGGTGCAGGGACAGAGAATGAGACAAGAAGTACAGGTGGTCAAGTGGGACTCTACCACCCTCCTTTTGAGAAGTGTGGTCTTCCTGGAAGCAGCTTGCAAGAGGGTGCAAGTGGGAAGACAAGCTGACTCATGGTTGGCTTGACTCACTATTGGTAGCCTTGAGTACAGCTCTGAACATCCAAGTGTGGTTGGCTTTGCTGACCTAGCTAGGACATTTCCCATCCTTCTCTAGCCTTTCTCCCCTAGGACTCAACCTTCTTTGAGTTCCCAGGATGGTCCCAACCCCTTAAGAGTCCCCTAGGCAATGTTGTACTTACCTCTTCCTTGCATCAATGAAACTACACGTTTTCAGCCAAGCTTACGTTTTCGTTCACTGGGTAGCGCATACAACTCTGATAAAAGCAAGCAATTTACCGTTGGAAAGCAGACATCCGAAGCTAACGTCTATCCAAGTTTCAGCCTCGTATAATGTCGGAGGTGATCGTGAAGGCGTTTTGAACAAAGGCGGATTGAAGTTATCAGATTCTGGTTAGGCGGTTTCATGGGCATCCGCGACCCCTAAGTGGACTCTAGACTATAACAATTGGAACCAAAGCCAGGTTGTTCTCTGTTCCTAGGTCAATATGGAGGCTGAAGGTTCTGCTCCAGCTGGTCCTAGTGGCAGTGATAGCGTGAGAGGCGCTGGGGAAGCAGGAAGAGGCGTTGCAGGCGGATCTGCACCAATAGCATCCATTTCAACACTAGCCAAGGATGATGTGAAGGCATTCAACCTAGAGAAGTTCTATGGGGAGGATTGGGCATCATGGAGCTTCAGGATGGAGCTCCTTTTTAACCATTATGGGCTGCTTGAAGTGATGGATGGAGAATTGAAGAGGCCTGCGAGCGAAGGAGTGACCAAGGAATGGGATCGCCGATCGAAGGATGGATTCTTCCTTCTCTCTCAATGCCTCTCATCCAACCAGCTGCACCACGTCAAGCATCTCATCAAGGATATCCAGTGTGGTCCCAAGGCATGGAAAATATTTAAGGATGTCCAGGCCCCCAGCAGCAAAGCAATGGTGGTGGTGCTCGAACGACAACTCCATGCGGTGAAGATCAATGAGGGTGATGCTGTGCAAGAAGCGTTCGATCAAATCCGGGACCTCTGTGTGAAGCTCTTTGCTGCTGGTGTGGACTACCCTGAGAAGATCAAGTGCTACAAGGCTCTCTCCCTGCTGTCGGAGTCATGGGGCCCCTTGGTGGTCAACCTCAATGGCATGAAGGACTCATGGTCCCTTGAGTGGATCCGTGCTCAAGTCCTTCAAGAGGAGTTTTTGAGGAAGGAGCTGTCTGCCGCTGCCGGTAAAGGCGGAGGCTCTGCCTACGGCACGAAAGGCTTCAAGGGGCGTGGCAGTAAGAAAAGGAAGGCCAAGGAAGGCTTTGGAGGGGAGCAGTATTCGGGAGGGAAGCGTGGCAACAAGGGAGGCAAGCGGAGTGGCGGCAAGTGTTGGTATTGCCATGTGGAAGGTCACCCATGGTTTAAGTGTCGCAAGCTACCTGATGGTTG